GGGTTAAATATCTATAAGTAAAATCTGCCATCGTAGCACCGCACATCCTTTCGCTCTAACGTGTTGGAATTTCCTCTTTCTCTCTTGCCCGATAGAGCTTCGCACAGAATTTCGCTTTTTACCCCAGTTTTTCTCACTAGAGCACATACCTTCGATGAAGTTGTCATGGGTAATCGCTCCTTCAGTGTTTCTCTTTGCGGTCTCCACCTTACACATTCGAACACCGCAGGGTCTTTACCGTCCCTCATCCCACAAACCTCGTAGTCTTCATTACCTTTTCTTTTTATTCTGAACAAGTAGCTGCCGTTCTTACCATGGCCTGTCAGGAACTGGGCCAGATAAAAATTTACTTCCACGTGCTCTCTCCCTGCTCATAAATGTAGGTCTTTGGTCACTGTCCTTGTTCATGATTTTAGGGGCTTCCAATCTTCCTGCCACCTTTCCATCACCTTCTTCCGGTCTCGTCCTTTGAATCTAGCTGTCATCATTATATGGGCGGGTGGCCACCACTAATATTGTCTATGGCTCAACAGCTCTGTAGGAACGGGCAATTTTAATTGCAAGAAGTATTTAGACTTTATGCAGCAGCGACGTCGTTACTTTCTACTTCTTCCCTTTTCCTGTGAATAGTACCAGTTTGGTTTTTTATGTCAGCCTTCTTTGTTACATCCACTCCCTTATCATTATTAATGTTATCTGTAACTTTTGGACTGCTGCTTCTAGCTGATTATTGTCGGTCATCATGTGGCGCAGTTCAGTCGAAACTGGACTGTGGTGCTAAGGGTCCCTGGTTCGAATCCGGGTTCGGGCATGGATATTTGTAAATGCATAGTGGGTTGGGTTGGTAGAGCAGCCTTGGATGAAACCCCGCCCACTCAAAAAATAAAGGCAAATAAATAAAAATTAAAAAAAGCTGCTAGGGCGTCAGCAATTATTCTCACTCCGATTGGTTTGGGTACTCTTAAAACGTCATAGATAACATTCCACAAGAGCATTTGAAATGAAATTATCTTCATGGCCATCCGCCTTAGTTATATACAGTACTCTGTCCCACAGATAGCTATTGGTAACGCGTGGCATCTCCATTGTCCCTAGAGCATTTTGCATTTCTTCCCTGGACGCCAAATTAAATGCGTTGTCAACATCAATCGTCAGCCAGCAAGCAAATCTTTCGCTTGTAGCACGCCGGGTTTTTCCACCTCTCAATAACTTCACTCTCCGAATAATTCGATACAATCGTTGTCACGGTACTTATCTACCGAATAAATTTGTCGGCAGAAGGAAAAACGGACTCTTGGTCGCTTTGCGATAACCTTTTTCATGACCTTGCCGGCGCGGCGCTGCCCAATAGACAAATGTCGTTGTGTTCTTTGGTATAGGAACAAGTCGACATGTCTTCCATTCGGTTAGGTAGTCTTCCTTACTCAGGCAGTCATTTATAATCTTCATCCATATTCTCGTGTTTTGTTTCTGCTAGCGTCTTTAGTACTTCAGCTGGCACCGTATCTGGCCCTGGTGCTGTGTTCACCACCAACTCGCGTGCTGTACTCATCACTTCTTCCCTAATAAGTTGAATTAAAGTGAATTAATTTGAATTAGCTTGAATTAATTTTAATTAACGAGAATTGATGTGAATTAACGGGAAATAATTGGAATTAAAGTGAATTAATTTGAATTAACGAGAATTAATTTGAATGAAGGGGAATTAATGTGAATTAAATTCAATTAACGTGAAATAATGTGAAATAAAGTGAATCTGAATTTACGTGAATTAACTTGGATTAACGCGATTTAAATTTATTTGAAAATTATTTTGAATTAACGTGAAATAATTTGTATTAACGTGAAATAATTTGAATTAAAGTGAATTAATTTAAATTTACGTGAATTAACTTGATTTAACGTGAATTAATATCAATTTACGTGAATTATTTTGAATTTGAATTTTTGGTGTTTCCCCCTAGCTTCTTCCCTTGTCACTTCCTCGCATGTTACTCCAGGTGCTTGGTTTCCCACATACATTAGGTCCTCATGATTCGGGAAAAGCTCCCTTATCGTTCTTATCTTCTTATCTTATTGCTATACCACCCCATTTTCGTATCCATCGTTACAATTTCTCTTTTATTTGTTCAATGTTCATGGATACTTTCCATTGTACGTAGCGATAGGTTCGTCTTTCAGTACGGCCTTTTCCACCATTCGCGTATTAAGCTCCGCAGACGTTAGTATTAGGTCTATTATGGTTCCTCGCAATGGTAACATCATGCTATACTATCAAGTCTGCCAGAATGCCAATGCCACTTCGTTTATTGGTTTTCGCGGATCCCCACAATGGCGAAGACGCGTTGAAATCGCTTTCTACAATCGTTTTATCCGACCCGAGCTGTCCCAGTTCACAGCTCAAATCGTTCAGTTTCCTAACCTATATTCTACGTCGAGGTCATTTGGTGGAAGATGAACACTATACAGGGTGGGCCATTAGTGTGTGGGTGGACGATTGTGGGTTTATTAACGCGCATATTTAAAATTCATTGTGGGGGAATGTTGAAGGACCCTTAAGGCTACAATCTAAAAATATTTTCACCGAAATTACAATTGTTATACAGGGTGATTTATATCAAAGTTGCATTTTTTGAATGGAACTCCCTATATATTATTACATATTTCGATTCCTTGGTCAATTTTAGTGTAACTTTATGTATTACACATGATACCTAAAATGAGTAGTTTAGCCGCAATTCGTCGTTTTTTAAAAGAGAAGATGTCCAGTAAAAATTGAATATCGCAATTATCATAAAACTTAGAAGGCCGTGACTTTGCAGTGGCACTAATCATGAAATGTACTAACATACACCGAACAGCTAAAGTTAAACTTTTTTTTGTGTTAAAAGAAATCACTCCGTCAATTTTCAAAATTTCAATCCGAAATAACTTGATTTTTTTAAATGGAACTACGAAGTTTTTTTTATTGCATGCATCCCTTATTTTTACTCTACAGTACGTTAATCCTATACGTAGGTGTCCAGCGTTAATAATTTTAACAGCTGTTTCTCCATCCACGCGTATGTATTTCAATCATGTTTTTTATTCTCACTCTACCCTCTGGTGCTACCCTACACACCGCCTTTAGTACTTCATTTTTTTCGGTCACTGAATCTAACCCTCCTACTTCAAGTGTTTGAGTATCTTCTGGAGCAGTAATCACTCTTTCTGGCATCGACCTAACTATCTTGGCCTTAACTTGTGCTCTCAATAGTATGTTCCTTGTTCCGTTTTGCCGATACCTTGTATCCTCGGCCCACTTTCTCCAGATTAGTTTTCCTATTTCTTTTAAGTATCTCGTCGTACTGGTTCTCGCCATGGGATTTAACTAACACCGCACTGAAGAACATTCTGAATCACAGTGCAGAGGATAAATATAGGGGAGAAATCTGGAGCAAGAGAGGTAACTGTGGAAAACGTTAAGCACACATTTTACACTACTTCTACAATATCCACAAATTAGCCTTCCGATGAAGTAACCCATGAACTTGAATAATTTAAATCTGAAGTTAATTGAATACAACATTTGATGAACCAAAGAATGCCAGCTCAAATAGATTCTTCCCCATTTGTGGAAAAATAACATTCAGAAGTGTTAAAAATTACATGAAATACATTGTAAATTAGCCGTACTTCTCCAGTCCAGAAGGTATCTGAAGGTCCTGGATACGGTAACCTTAGACTAAAGTTGTATTTCGAGGTCACTTCAGTGAGTACCTCTGCACTAGCGAAAAAGTTAATTACACTAAAAAAGGCAGATTCGCAAACAAATAATTACATTCGCTAAACAATCTAAATTTAGAGTACATTAATTTTTTGAACTGGCAAATATTACAAATCTTTCACAAAAAGTTAGAACAAATTGACCTACACTCACTGGATGCAGAAAGCCAAATGACGTTAAATTTGACCATGAACCTGTATGAACCGAACAAAATGAAAAATCAACAAAGCTAAATCAAGACACACTACTTTCTTAATATAAAAAGCAGTTTCAACGTACCTATTTCCAGCGGTGTCTCCATATACGCCAACGGTACTTGCCGTTTGAAATTTTGAAAGCTGACATCTCAAAACCTAAGATTATGCATTAAAATTAATATTGTCAATAACTAAAACATATAAATTCACTACTACGGTGGAGGTGAAATAAAAATAATAATAAAGTAAAATCAAATACGGAAACGATACGAAAAAGTTTCGACTTCGATTTCTCGAAAGACAGTATCCAGGTCTGGTGAAACATTGAAATTGGTTATTTAAATTAGGTGTTCTATTTTTGCTGACGTTAGAAAGATCCTGGTGCAATTGTGGTGGTTAATTTACATGTAGGGCACTGTTTAAAAATTCCGGTAATTTCATCCTTTCTTCGCCTGATTGCACTAGTTGGGCTCATTAACGTGTTAATGGGTAGGTATTTATTATTTTTGCGCGGAAAAGTGCACGTTTTCCCTCAATCAGTGAATTCTTCTCAGAGTTTACCGTTTCGCATGATCGCTCAAGTTCAAGTGAAAGTATATATCTTTTGTACTAAGTACGAGTTGTATTATACCGAGGTAGGTAGGTAATACCCGTTAAATATAATTTGAATGTATGTGAAGGATTACACTAATGATAATCTTTAGGCGATCAAGGAGATGTCATGCAGAAAATGTTATTTATGTAGGATGCAGAATGACGAAAAGTATTTTAATAACACACCCACAATAGAAAAATTGAAGTCACGCTAACATTGATCGAAAACTATTATGTTTAACCTTAGCACCTCTCGAATACATTATTGTTGCCTTATATCTTCGATTCTTCGGACCACAATGCAAATTGGAAATGGCACAAACGTGACTGTCATGGATAAAAAATTTTAATGCAAAGTTTATCGTGCAAAACTAAAAATAATATACTTCTGTAACATATTAGGTCAATTACAACTAATTTCTCCATTTCGTTGCATGTGTGATAGGAGTGCGGAAAGCAAAAAATTACTTTCATTCTATTTCGTGAAAAAGCAAATTTACGACTCTAATTGAAACCGCCCCACCCTACTCCTGATAATTAGAACTGACCATACACTTCACGTTATCAAGAAGCGGAGGAAGTAAGAAACCATGTGGATGGCAATGTACGGATGTAAAATGTGGGTCGACAGGTGGAAAGTGGCTGCCTCCCATTGACGGGTAATATCTTCTCCAGTTACAATCGTGCAGCGAACAAGTGCAGCTTAATTGTTTGTAATAGTGTCTTGGTACATCTTGGTGATCAATTACTAACATGATCTTTTTCAAGGTCAGTTTTATTTATTTTTTTATTTTTATTTTATTATTTACTAAAGCATACCTGTAAATAAATGATTTATTTCCAATTACGTTCGATTCATTACACTCGTTAACCTATTTATTTATATCACATACCTACGTAGCCCGTAGGTATATAATTAGACTTTTAACGATAAGTAGCCGTACCGTTAATACTTCAGTTTTGGTTAATTTAGAGAATTCTTAGGCATAGGCGTTTACATTCACTTTCAGTTGACCAAATTCTGCTTCAGCTCGTCCCAAATGATAGAAAGTTTCATTCTTCAGCGCACATCTTCGCAACAAACTTGAGAAATGGATAGTAAAAATTGGAGTTGATTATTTTTATATGCAAATTAACAATTGCGTTAACTAGTTCAGGCATGTTATCTACATGTAAATTAGCGGAGTACGGCACCGGCCGGCTTTTTGTATTACATTTTTTTTGTAAGTGAAATGGAATTTGTGCAGTACACTGACGAAATTTAGTGACACGGAAATTATTAATTATGGATAGCGTTCTAGGCACTTAAGGCCGCATTTTTACCAACATTACAGCGGATGGCCGTCGATTAATTGTGTGATTGAAGAAATCGAGCAAAACATGCGAAAATTAAGGGTTGGTGTCTTAGGTACAGGGTGGGTCAACGATTGCACGGAGTAACTTAATGCGTTGAAGATAAGATTTTTCGATATAGTGCTTTTGTATTATGATATGGTTGATATTCTCCACTTTTTAAAAATGTTTGGAATTATACAGGGTGCGCCCACAAAGTAGGGCGCTAAATGGTACATTTTTTTAAATAGAACCCCCTCTATTTGAATTCATTCTTGTATTCTACGTCTAATTGTACGTCTTTTTTTATTATATGATTAATATTCGAAAAGCTAGTAGTTTTAAAGATAATTCAATTTTTAAGAAAAATTGGGCATTTGCAAGCGTCAGTATATTGTAAAAATTATTACTTAAATTTTGATTCCAGGTTTTATATCTTTCATCCTAGGCGAAGTACAAGTCAAATATATACATCTACTATAAAACATTAAAAAAATAGCTTACAGGGTGTTTTTTCTAGATCCAAAGTTACAAAACTTCATATTAAAAATCTCACTTTTTTAACATGGAACACCCTGTATATTTTTCTGTCATCTTTTAGCTCCTCCAAAAACCTTCAACTTTTGATAATAATGTCCTATACCTATTTCTGATATTTTTCGAAATATCTTGGTTTTCTGGATTTTTATATTCTAATCTTCATCTCCAGTTTTAAATTAATTAATTAAAATAAATTGTTTATCAAAAGTTGAAGGTTTTTGGGAGGAGCTAAATGATGACAGAAAAATATGCAGGGTGTTCCATTTAAAAAAGTGAGATTTTTTAATATGAAGTTTTGCAACTTTGGACCTACCAAAAAAACACCCTGTAAGCTATATTTTTAATGTTTCATAGTAGTAGATGTATTTGACTTTTACTTAACCCAGGATAAAAGATATAAAACCTGGAATCAAAGTTTAAGTAATAATTTTGACAATATATACTGACGCTTGCAAATGCCCAATTTTTCTTAAAAATCGAATTATCTAAACTACTAGCTTTTCGGATATTAACCATATAATAAAAAAGACGCACAATTACACGTAGAATTCAAAAATGCATTCAAATACAGGGGGTTCTATTTAAAAAAATGTACCATACAGGGGCCCTACTTTGTGGGCGCACCCTGTATAATTCCAAATATTTTTAAAATGTGGAGAATATTCAACCATATCATAATACAAAAGCACTCTATCGAAAAATCTTATCTGCAACGCATTAAGTTACTCCGCGCAATCGTTGACACACCCTGTACATTTAATGAAGGTAACAACATTAAATCGCATGGAAGTAGGAACTGTGCCATGTGAGATTGTAAAGACTTCCTGTGTCGATCCATAGCACCTACAAATAAACATTGTAGCCCTTATCTCTCCTTGGTTAAGGTCGCTTTCTTCAGAAATATGAAACGAGATCGTTTCGATTGTACAGTTGATTGCACCAACCTCTTTATCTTGGTGACGAATGCAAAAGTTTGGCGGAAGAAGAGTTTGTATGACTTGCGAATCCAACCAACCCAACTTGAGATCGTGATTATCCAAAGGAATAAAATGTCAATGCACCGCTGTGCTGATATTAATTTGGCCTAATCTGTTAACTAGGTTTTGTTGCGGGTAAATGCACCGATTAATTGTCTTTAAATTCCATGCCGTATGCCGTTGTATACACAATTTTATTTATGGCACAAGGCGCTGTCCAAAGACGTTACTCAACCTTAAAGAACTTGCTTTGAACTAGCCGTTACATTTGGCGATCCGAAAAAAACTTGTTTGTTTATGACAATGAGTGCGTGCGGTTATCCGATTTGAAAGTGTTCCTTCGCGTATATTTTACCACCTGTAAATAAAAAAACCTTACGACGAACAAGGCTGCTAAAAAGTGTTTTCCTTGTTCCGAAATTTATTGTAATTCGTTTATTCGCACACATTTAAAATCGCAGATAACGGGAAATTTGTCACCAAACCGATTTTTTTAAAATATTTCTCCACCAGGTCTTTGAAATTTAGCAGTTCTCTCTGCTTAATATGTTTTTACCCGAAGTGAAACTGCCAATTACTACTATTCAGATAGATTTCACACAATAAATGCAAATTCTGATCCTTGAAATCGCACCATGAATCTTCACACATACACGAGGATATTTCTTACAACGCAGGGAAAAAAATGTCGAACGAGAATCATTTTTTTTACACACCAATATATGTACGTGCTCTACACTTCTCTCGCTATTTAAACGTCGCCCAATAGTAGTTCTGAAACGGGAGCTATTTTCTGAACGCAAAGACCTCGACTAGCGTACATTTTTTAAACGAATAGTAAACCTCCATTTTTGTCACGTGCACGGCGTCAAACTGAACGGAACGAAAGTTAAATTCGAAGAGATCGGCGCTTGTTATCGCCAGACATACTTTTGTTCATGTTTGCTATGAAGCGGTATATGTGTAAATTTCCCTGTTTAACAAAATACAAATTCAAACCAAATTTTTGAAACGGCAAAACGAGCACATGTTACAGTACCTTCAAAATCTACACATTTATTACATTGTTTCTGAAGTAAACAGATACATTAAAAACATTGCTGTTGGTAGATCTTCAAAATAGTCACACAACAGCAACCTTTAGGTCATCCTAAGAAGCAATCATTGCTCTCGTAAGTGTTTTTCGGAGAAGAAGTCTTAATTTTTGGGAGTCAGATTCATCGATAACTTGTTCGAAGCTTTTGATTCTGGTGCGCCCTGCAATGTTGTATGTCAAAATTCTGTCCTCTTTTCTCGAGCAGAACGTTTTGAGTAGTTTTTTAAATAAACATCGTAACATCTGTAATATCCTCTCTCATATACCTACTCAATCAAATTCCCACACAATCCCAGAAAACAGTTGCCATCAACTGCGTTTTCGTTTTTCTTGGTGGTGGGGATCCTTATGGACACACGTAATCAATTCTTGTTTCCTTGTATAAATTTGAAGTTTATTCTTCTTTTCCCTAGTCCAATTTTCGAGAATGTTTCTAGTTCCCTTAAAGATATCCTCATTATAAGTGGAATTGACCTGCTTTTTGTATAATGTATGATTTTTGATCAGTACCGAAATCTTGGGGGTGGTATATGTTTTAAAATAGACCGACTACACAGGTTCAACACGATTAAACCGTTTTATTTTAGTTGCCCTTGTGTTATTAAACCGATCGGTTTTCTTCCGTCTCCCGTTTCAGCCATATTGTGCCTTTTTGGCAGTTGTATGGAATAGCATTTTATACAGCAAATAATAAAGTGTGTATTTTAATCCTGAGGGTTAACGGTAGCTCCAAATTTGGTTCTGCCTTGTAAAAAATGTAGAGGAACACATTTCTCAGTAAATAGCACGATTTGTGGAACTACAAGAATAAATCTGTAAACACTTCGTGGAATTGACGAACGTATTTTCTGCGTCATTTGAATTCTATGGCGCGTTGTATTTGTATGGTTAGTAGACCTCATATAGAGAATGGGTTAATTATATTATAAGGAGGATTAACCTGGAACGATAATTTGAAGGCATTCGTTTATTGGCAACCGTAGTATTCACTGCGTGATTCACGTTCAAGTTTGTTTTTTACTCGCACGTGTCAAGCCGCGAATGAAATCGTTACTCAATGCGTTCGAGAAGTTCGGTTTATCCGATAAAGTGGCGCGGTCGTTTCCAGTGTGAGAGTTGTTATTTTTTCATAAATCCAAATGGGGAAATGACAAAGTACGAGTTTTATTGTTAAAAAACAGTCACAACTTAAATGTATTTGTTTTGGAACTTACACCACAAAAAGGGGATAATGGTGCAGTTAGAAAGAAAAAAAACCGTGATCGTTGTGCAATCGTATTTCTGTCGCATAAAGGCAAGCCGTAGTCGCGATCAAGGACGAACTAATTCAGCGCGCCAGTATGTTTTCTTACGTTTGTTAAACATTCAGAACAATTTTCTGCTGCCTGTGACACCAACCCCAATCGTAAAATAATCATAGCGGCCGCAGTAGAAATAGTTATTTGTGTACCAAGGCCGTAAAAGTGATCTTTTTTGGCCGAAGCTGCTGTTTGTGGCCGAGGCGGCAGCCGAGGCCGCAATTCAGATGAGGCCTAACAAATCACTTTTGGCCAAGGTGCACACAACATTTTTTAGGCGATCATCAAAAAAGAATTCAAAAATTTGCTCATAAACATATTTTTTCTGAAAATCATAGTTATCTTAGACAATTAAAAACAAAGCAATTCCTGTCATATGTAATTATAATTAGCATCTTTGCGTGTGTTTTGTGCGTATCAAAATGGGTGATAGCGACAGTTCAGATACCCCAAATGAAATTTTGGAAGCTGCAAGCGTTGCGCTTGCGACCCTAAGTCATATATGATATAAAAGCAGGCGTTTGA